TAGTTACCTTAGGAGGATCTTCGTCTTCTTCTCCTCCATATGCAATGAAGTCCTCCTCCACTTCATTTGGAATCAGCTCCAAATCATCTTCTTCATCTCCATGAATCTCCATGTTCACTGCACTGATGCCAGCGTATGTAGGAGGGTACAGGCGAGAGCTAGGTGAACCTCGCGGCGACGCCTCCAATGCCCTCCTAGGGCCATGTTCTCGTTGCTCACTCTCCAACTCCTCCACATCAACCTCTGGCTCTCTTTTCTCATGCGCCATGCGCGGAGACGATGTATCATCCAATCTTTTGGGCTCACTTTCTTCTGCCGTTTCCAAAGGTCTCTTCAATGCCATGGAAGCCATCTCACCAGAAGGTGATGTTGGTCCGGGAGTCGATGGTGCCATGGAACCAACATTGGGCGTCTTGGGCGCCACAATGCCAGGTGTGTTTGGAACTGGTGTCTTCAACCCTGGCGTAGGTCCAACCATTCCTGCTGCAACCTCCGTGGCAATCTCCTTCATCTCACTCTCTTCCGCTTCTGCCTCAAGCGTAGGCTGTCGTGTGCGCTGAGTCTGTTCAGCATGTCGCATCAGAATGCCTTGAGGAGAATAACTCCATGGAAGCCCCTTGGAGATTACAATGTCCGTCGCAATGAAGTTCTCCCCAACTGCCAATCTCCTGATCGTTCTGGACTCGAATGCCCCTTCTGGCGTCAGGATCACATGTGTATCATTCCATGGACGCTTTCCTGCCCAAACTCCACGTTCGAAGATGTTGTTTCCCTTGAACTTGACAATCTTCTTGAACAGGACGCTTTCTCCAAACAGTGCTAACTTCCCATGGTATCCATGTCCTGTTGCCAGTTCGAAGCTCGTCTTGTTGCACTTCTCCAGGACACGAAAGCGATTGATCAGGAAAGCAGCATACCTGAAGCTCCATGGATATAGGTGAAATGATCCAAGGATTCTCAGCCTTGCGCGATCTTCAGCGAATGTTCTGAAACAATTTGCTAGCCGCCTCACCGTTTGGACTGCTCTCTCAACTTGTCCATTAGATTGATGTTGTCCAGTGCCAGTCATGCGGATCTCTGTTTTCAGTCCCATGCTGCGGACCTGTTGCACAGACCTCAAAATCTGACGAGTCGCCTCTCGGGGTCAGTCTGGAAGATGCACTGGTCATAGGCGGAATTCTCTAGTGCAAAGCGAGTGACCTCCTCCGTGACCGTTTGGAGACGACTCGCAGTGCCCTTGGAGGGCACTGGCACTGCGTGTACCGCCTTCGTCTCAGAGCTCGTCAAAATCAGGACTGTCCCATACTGGTCTTGTCGCTCTTGGACTTTTCCCACAGATGGTTCATCACCTCTATGCCAGCCAGGAGCTAACTCCAAATCCTGCGCATACACTCCAGCCACGTCTCAGTAGTTTACCTGCGCATAGGATGGGATGCTGCACATTGCCCAGGACAAACTCCTCCACTAGCTCAAAGGGTTTTCATCTCTTGTCTTCTATGCGAATGCGGACTCTGGTTGCTCCGTCATGAGCAATTCTTTTGCCTTGCGCATCAATCATCTTCAGCTCACTGGAACCTTGTTGCCATTGGCCCACTGAAGCATATGTCCTTGGCAGCACTGACACATCTGCGCCAGTGTCCAGGGTCACCAAGCAATTGTCAGCATTCACTCCTTCAATCTTGACCATGTTGACATAGAAATCCTCATCGTCCTGCAAGTCCATGGCCACTATGCTAACTCCAGCGGGAACGTCCACTCTGGGCTCATGACACTCCATGTACTCTTCATACGCCGTCTCAAAGTCCTCATCCTGCTTCCAGCGAATCATGCCAACTCGCCATGGAAAGTTGTCGCCACTGCCTCTAGGCGTGGTCAGATCGAAGACTTCCATCGATGGTGTTCCTGGCGGAGTCTCAATCCTCACCATCTTCACATTTGCCGTTGAGCCTTGCGCTGTCGATGGACCTGCACCGGTCGATGACGAACTAGCTCCACCTGGATTGGTCTGCTCTTCAATCTGATTGACTCGCTTCCAGCCATCTTTTGCGAAGTTGCCACATAGATGACAAGCTCCAGTCGACTTGCCACCCTTGGAGCCCTTCTCGGTCGGCTTGCCTTTCTTTCCAGGTCCCTTCTCCCAGGTGGATTTCCCTTTCTCATAGCTCTTCCAGGACCCTTTTCCATCTTTGGACTTGCCTTTGTCTTTTCCTTTCATCTTCCCTTTGGCTTTCTTGCCGCCTTTCTCCCATGCCTTGCCCACATAGTCGACCTCCATTGGTGTAGCCTCATCTGTGGAAGCCCGTGTTGGCAGCATGAAAGAGTTTGTACTGTCCCATTTGGTCGTCACTGCTTCAAGCTGTATGATTCGGTTCTTGAGCTGCTCATAGGTCGTAGTGTCCGTGATCCAGAGATGCAAGCGCTGTCTGATTTGCATCGGACAAGCCAATAGCACCGCTGCCACCTTAGCATCATCACTGTATCCATGGCCAGAAATCCTCTCATACTCGTTGATGAGTGCCTCAAACTGAGGTAGTTGTTCTGACACCGTTTTGCCTTCAGCAAATTGAATCCGGGGCAACTGACTCAACAGAGCCAATGCCCTTGCACGGGTCGCTGGTTGCACCTCCCGCAATAGGATCTGCCATGCCTCGAACCCATTCTCCTTTTTCACATGCCGAATCAGCTTCAGTGGCCTCTGTCTGAGGTAGGACGTCAGCAAGCTGTAGAATCGAACTGCACGGCCCTTGGTTTCATCTGTCATGTCGTCCATGTCATAGTTAGCCTCCAAATCCCTCTCAACCAGGTCCATGTCATTGGCCATCGTGGGATCGATGCCTTTGATGTAGTTCATGAGCGAGAACTTCCAATCTCCCCATAGCTTGAGTTCATTGTCTCTGCTATCAGGTTTGAACACGTCAGGAGCTTTGAGATGACGTGCCCATCCCTGAGTCGCCTGATTCACCGTCAGCCTCTCCAAAGCCGTGGCCACCAGACGACGAAGGCTCTCTTCTGCCATTGCCCTGAGGTTCTTGACCCTCGGATAGTACGCCTTTGTAATGCAAAGGGGATCTTGTACCTCTCCTTCTGGCTTGAACTCCAATCCGCTACAGACCAAGCTCTCCGAACCAGCTCACAGATATTCTCTGGTGGTGTCTCGTCCCGCAGGGTTTCTACTTTTGAGAGGAACCTCCACTTTGAGGGAACAACCACTAGGATCTCGTTGAGGTCAGCCGAAACTTTACCTCCAACCCTTTTCTGAAGTATGACCGAGGCACGTGTGGCTTTCTCTCCCTTGACCCACCGGATGCGAGCCAAGTGGTCCTCACACTCGATGCACAGGGTGTGGAAGCGTCGATGCTTGACCTTGCCGGTCTTGGCCACCAAGCGATTGGGCTGGTAGTAGTTCACCTCCTGGATCGCTGTTGCCCCAGCACCACCGGCCAGTCCGGCCAAGATGATCAGCTCCACAAGCCAAATTCCTGCCCACTTCGAGTTCTTGCTCCTGCCGACCTGAGAGGTCGTCGTGGCCCCTAATGCCCTGGGGCTCGTAGTGCTCGTGGTGGTGCCGTGGGCAGTCGGAGCGTGGCACGCTACGGCCAGCGCTCCGCTACCATGAAAGGCGCGTGCGCACGAGGATCTTTTCCTCAAACACGGGGTCTTGTAGCCGAAAGGGTGTGCGTGATCGACAGACATGTCAACCTGAACTTGACTGTGCATGAAGTTCTGACAAAAAAAATATATATATATATGTATGTATCTGTCAGAAATTAGTGCTGGAGACCTCAATGGACTCAATCGCGTGGTTCACCAATGAAAACGGGGAACAATGCGAAACCGAAACCGTTCGCAACCACTGGATCACCATCCTCGCCGGGACACCATCTGACCAAAACAAAACCGCAAAGCATGACCGGAACACCATCCATGCGAACCGACGATAACATGTGTCTGTGCTTTTCGATTGCCAGCTATCCTGGCAATGCCCAACCAAGTGCGTCACGAGACCGACCGAGATGACTTCTCGACGGCGTTCGACGGCACATTCGGTCGACTCCGTGAACTCCGTGTGAAGTTTCGCGTCAACGTCCGTTTGAGGCGAGACCGCGGGGCCCGGGGTGGGAAGGGTTCTTTGCAAGTGGATCCTCATGGCCTAGTACTAGCGGAATCTTGCGTACCCATGCCTTTGAAATCACGTAAACAAAGCAAAATATGTCCTCGCATTCAAGTTGTTGTGCATCCGCGTAATAATGTGTATATATAGCCACGGCATTAATTGGTCGTGGCCAGTGCAACACAAAACAGTTGTCGAACAAGAAGTGTTGCTCCTGGACGCCGGTGCAAATAGGTTCACATAATGTTCACACCTTCTCTTTCGTCAGGGGCGAGGAAAGGTTTACGAAAACGAAGAAACGGGAGGAAAGGTTCACACCTTGCTTTCAAGGATAGCGGTAGCAGCGGTCCTCGGTGTGCCCACTACACCGCTCTCATGTCCAAAATCAGTGCGAGCGAAGGGGGGGCAAGCGCCCGCTGTCGCCAGCGCGCACGGACAAAGTTGCATGTCCCCGAACCCCAAAAGGAGACCGTAAGAGGTGAGATGGGACAAATTCGGCCGAAATCAGGTGAAAGTTGCTGCGACGATATGATTGCAACGAAAAAAGAACGTGCCAAATCAATTCTTTGTTGGGCAGCTCGAACCACACTAATAAGCTAGCTGGCCAAGCTGGAACGAGATGACGGGAGCTGAGATGTAAACACTAAGTTGTGGAGTTGGAACGTTCTAGTTTTCCGGCGCCTAGCACCAATTTTGTCAAAACCACTCCGCAAGCTGACGGTGATTTGGTTGCTACGTTTGACCGTTTGCGCCAAAGCAAGCCGGTCAACAGGCTGGCGAGAAAAACGAAAAATGGTGACAAAGCGAGATGGTTCTCAGAAGGACTCGAGTTTGCGTTTTCTGTCTCCGTTCTCTCTCCGTTGCCGTCTCCCGTTCCAAGAGTTCGGGCTGGTGGAATCCAAATTGACCAAAAGAGCCACGACGTCTCCAGTGGTGAATTTCTGGGACACACCCAGGACTTTCCTCGACAATTTGAACAACCAGCGAAAATTTGACGCAAAGTTGCGCACTTGCGACCTGCCTCTTCTCTTTGTAAAAGCTCCCTTGGGAATCAAAGCAAATGGAGTCCTGCCGGGCACGTGTTCGGATCAAGGCAATAGGACTGACATGTAGGCCACACACAGCAAGCAAAAGAAACCGGAAAAGCATCGAAGATCGAAATCGAAACGACCATTGAAATGCGAACAACAAAAGCAAGAGCAAACAAAAAAAGTAAGTTTCGTTCCAACGATTAAAGCCACAAAGCCGACTTCGTTCGTAAGTCGTCCTGGTCTTCCCCCAGGAAGAGCGAGGCGGCAGTGGCCAGGCCCAAACGCACTTGGCTCCGCGCACTTTGCATCCGACTCTTTGCGCTCGGCTCCTCCGACCAGGTCACACTCTCGATGATCTTCACCTGACGAGAGAAGAGAACTAAGCAGAATAGCAAAATGAGAAAGGATATTTTTTTAAGTCCGGAATATATTGAAAGAGTGACTAATAACCGTAGGGCGCAGGCAGCTAGTGTCTTTTGTAACGGCGTTACCTGATTCCTTGAGCCTTGGGGAACATGACAGCGCCAAGTTGCACCTGTGACAAGGAAGTGACAACTGTACAGACCCGCAAAATCATAAAGTCATGTCTGTCACGGAGCGCATTGACGCTATCTATTCCTTTCAAGGCAAGGTCCAAGTCCAGTTTCAAACCGTCACAAGTACCAAGGTGCCATATACCTACGAGTCCAGCGCGTTACACATTATAGACAAGTAGTCTCTTAGCTTAAAAGCACAGAAGGGGAGCTGAAGCTTACCCACCCTTACGTCAAAAGCAAACATTTGAAACTCGGCTTTTTCTGCGTTGCTTACTTTAGCCGGATGGAACGACATAATTATAGGCCTGCGGCTATCCGTGTCAGATGCTCTTGAGCACATAATGTCTTGGTCGACCTGAGCAAACTTTTCAGACAAGTTCACTCTATACTCCTGGGTGTCAAATGGTGTCAACCTTAGTACGATAGAACGCATCCTCAGACAAAGTATGACCCCATTCGAGAAGAGTAGTGAAACAGCAATTGCTAAGTTTCGAGAATCGGGCCTGTTCACCTTTGCCCATACTTCTCCACGTCCTGCCTATGAAGAATTCGCAGCCCTTCAGTCCAAGCAAGGACACTGTATACCAGGTTCTTGGGATAACCGGCTTTGCATTGGAATCTGCCTTCAACCAGCCTCTGCAAACAGACGAGTCCAGTGCTGCGTGGCGCTATGGTAGTGGCTGCGCATTGGCTGACCCTTGTTGTGAGTCATAAGGTATGCGCAAAACTTGGCATCTGCGGTGATGATGTCTACCTCATGCGGGAAGCATTCATAGAGCATCAGGTTGCTCAGCCGTAATGGCATCAGCCTGGACGGCCCTGTATGTATCCAGATGAAAATTGCAGATTTGAATCGTCTTCACGCGGGCCCTTTCCAACCAAACTCTATCACTTGCTTGCCCATATAGTCATCAAAATCAAACTGACGATTCTTGAACTCACTGAGTCCTCTACTTTGACCGAACGTAATCTCAAAACGGCCCAAGTTACATCTCTTTGCGCACACTTGGCCGTGGCCTGCCATCACCTCGACAGCCACCCGGAGCTAATCTGGCCACGACTGCCAAATTCTTCCAGTCATTGGAGCAAATGGACCAGCTGTCCTCTTCTAGGAACTTCACAGCATCCTGAAGTGTCCATGCCTCTTGAAGAACGACAACGTGCGCTCTCAAAAGCAACAACATATTGAAAATTAAGTTGTTCTCGTCCTTACTAAAATGCAAGGACTGCTGACTCCGGTACCTTGGACGCATCTTCTGATCTAATCCAGCTAGATATTGAGGAGTCCTGCAATTGGCTACCTGGCGGAAACACATTTGATTCAACAAGCCTGCGTGGGTCCCGCGAAAACTCATGTGATGGAGCCCAGCGCCAGGTCGGCTCCATTGACTTCCTAAAGCAGTTACAGGAGAAGTCATCAACTCATTGGCGGAGAACTTTTGCCCGGGAGCAGGAAAATCTTTTTCCATCTTGCCCCTTTCGCTGTTCATCCATCTTGCAGATAGTGTTGATGTTCTCCTTCGTCTTCAACAAAACGTGGATCCCAACTGAGGTTCTCTTGCCCTTTTTCGGTCACGCCTGGCACGAAGACGGTCACTTGGAAAAGCTCCTGCGCTCTCATTAAAGTCTTCCATCTTAACATCAACTGCAGGGTCTTCTTCTGCGATTTCCTCTTCCATGCCCTCACCAGACACCAGCCATTTTTGGGCTGCACTCTGGATTGCGGCAATCTTCTTGGCACCAGGAGCCTTACCTGGGATCAAAACAGCCCTTGGTCCTTCTTCCTCTTGCTTCTTGAGCTCCGCTATCACTGAAAGAATGACTATAGTACGTACAGCGTAGTGGCGCAGGCAGCCAGTGTCTTTTGTAACGGCAATACCTGATCCCTTGAGCCTTGTAGGCCATAGAGGGAGGTAGTAGCTAGACGTAGCTAGTAGAAGCTAGATAGCTAGCAGGTTAAGTAGCTACTACCTAGGACGCAGGATAGCTCACGCTTCTTCAAGCAACCTCTCCTAGCCGCCCTAAAGGCGGCGAGGGGGCTTCCTTGAAGAAGCGCTCGCGCGATTGATTTGGCTCCTAGATTCTTAGGGAAACTTATGTTGTTGAAAGCATACGGCGAGCCAACAAAAATCAAACGAAGATTGACCCACACAAACACGCCATTTTGTCGGCGAAAAAGCATCGGTCCATGGTTGAGACCATGAGAAAAGCCAACTGGAGCCACGCCGAAACCAAAGAAGCTAAAAAGTGACCTAGCTTCTCTGGATATTCTTGCGTATATCTGCTCTTCTGCTCAAAAGAGCTTCCCTGCTCGATCTGCGTCTGCACATCTGCTGAACATGCACATGCATTGCAAACAAAATCTTGGGACCAAGAGCCATTGGCTGCCCTTACCAGAAAATTGTTTTCCTTGCATGACTGCGGAGGTGGTCCTACACCTTCTTCGGATCTCAGAACTCCAGTTGCGCCATTCTCCCCGCAAGGTGACGAGGGAAAGCGGTGTCTGCGTTGTCGCACGCGGTCTGGTAGCGTCACGCGACTACTCTCCTCTATCACATGGACTGCTTGTGCCCCTGCAATACACTGTATCGTCCGAAAGTAAGGGTGTTGGAAACAAAAAGAATTTAAGGCTTGCAGCATACACTCCTGCTAGTTTCGCAAACCCAAAGGTCATTGTAGCAACCTCCCGACATTCATATGGATCAAGCATTCTGCCAGAGGCCGCAATTGCAAGTGCGATACAACACGCACAAGCAACGGCCAAGAGAGATTCATGCCCTTGAGGCTCTTCACTTTGGCGATGTCTACAACGCTCCTCCTCCCAAATCGACCAGGTGAATACATGTCCATATCCAACAATAGCCAGGCAAAACCCCCAAGTAATCAGGAAAAGACCTTTCGACAAGCATCGGGAAAAAAACGTGAGACTGACAAGATCCCACCTTAAGCTCGTCTCATATTGTTGGTCACCTGTCAGAGAGTTTGTAGAGAAGGTCTCCTCGCCCCGTGGTCTTTGATCCTCTACGTCCCATTCCGTACAACCTGTGCCTCTTTCACCATAGAGACTCTAATCATAATAGAAGGCCGCAAACCAAGAAATTGTTCAACATCATCCTGTAGGAGGTCGCCACTCCTATCATACTGAGAGAATCTCTGGGCCTTGAGAGATTCAATTCCTCCAATCATCCCCTGTGATGGATGCCACGCCTTACCACGTCCACTCCTTCGGAGTAACTCTGTTGTCTTTATGGCCTGTCTGTCAATGTCACGGTTTCCATTCCTCACCGTGATGTCCTGAATCCACTTAAATCTGCAGGACGCTGTTCCACTGAGTCACGGACCTTAAAGTCTGCCGACCTGCCTGAGCATACTGCTCCTTCTTCAAAAGACACAAAGGTTGTACCTCATCCTGCAGGTCGATTCTGAAAAACTGAATGTCCTGGCTTTTGCACATAGCCCACGTTGTTTTCCCTTCCGTGACATTCTCAACGGCCACGAAACTCCTCTGGAGGTGCCGCTGTTCATGTACATCTGGGAGCGCAACTACTTGTCGAGCCTCTCTAAAGAGTTCGACCCTCTCTACTTGGACTTCTTTCTCTTGCGTCAGCACTGGCTGCACTGCGAGCATTGCGCACCTTCTCCATACGCAGCCTTCTGCGCTTGGCCTCCTCTGCCTCTGGGCTGTCCAAATTGATTGGTAGGACAGTTGCGGTTGGAGGCTTGATCAGCTGCGGCGAGTTTGGGTCTGTTTTGACCCCTTCTGATGCTGCCATTTCTACACTGCCGAGTGGCGCTTTCGCAGGACGCAATAGCTGCGTTGTAGCTGATGAGGTCGGGTCCCGTTGAATCTTGGTCCAGCACTGGCATTGAGACAGGCACCGACTTGCGCCCATCTCCTTTTCGGGCATTGCCATGTCCTCTTGACGCTTGGTAGTCTGCTTCGAGATGTGGTCCTTCATTGCATTGTCGAAGGTTTCCCAAGCATATTTCTTCTGCTTCATCTTTTTCTTGATCCTTTGGTTCAAGGATTTCTGCTCCTCTTTGAGGTTGCTCAAAGGTTCTGGTTCTGTTTTGAGCAGTTCTGAAAGGGTTGCGCTTGGCTCGACACCGCTTGCCTTCAGGCACTTGATTACCTCCTTGAAGGCCTCCTCCTCCTCCAACTGCTGCTTCTGGGACGAAGATGCAGCTGAGGCTGAAGATAAGGAGAAAACGTAGTCCGGGAACTCGAACACCTTCTCTTGCTCTTTGTCTCCTTTCTCCTTGTTTCCCTTCTTCTGCTCTTTCTTCTTGTCGGGGCCAGACCCTTTCCCTTTGAGCTTCTCTCTGTCCTTGGCACGTTGTCGATCTGGTCCTTCCCATGTCGACCACCAAGCCTGATTCTGTCTCTGTTTGCCTCTTGCATTCCATCCCGTCGGAGCTCTCGGCCACGAGTAGTGACTTCAAAGCAAAAGACGAGCTGCGCCCAGTCTTCTTCGCTGACACGGTCTGAGAAGGTGAGCGTCCTCTTTGTGAGTTCCCTGACAAGTTGTCTAGCACAGCTTCTCTTCTTACGAAGGCGTCTGCGCCAGTTCGGGCTTTTGTCCCGTTTGCTCGTCACCTTAGTGGACAACCTCCTTCCTCACCAACAAATGGTATGCCCCCCTATGGCTCAGCAACGAGACCCTAAAGCGATCGAACGCGTCGCGCGTTCTGGTGCAAAAAGCGTTCAGTAGGTTCCTGAATTATTTGAGCCCTTCAGAAAACACAATATAAAATAGAATATATATATATATATATATGTGCAGGGGGGGCCTTTGCATAAAATAAAACGACCTCTCACTCCTCTC